GGGCACCCCCACTGGGGCCTTCGGTGGAGCTCCCTATGGGGCCACGAAGTGCTGCCCTGGGCGCAGGAACCGCATGCGGGCATCCCCACAGGGGCCTTCGGTGGAGCTCCCTATGGGGCTACGAAACGCTGCCCTGGGTGGGGGACCCGCATGCGGGCACCCCCACTGGGGCCTTCGGTGGAGCTCCTTATGGGGCCACGAAACGCTGCCCTGGGTGGGGGAACCGCATGCGGGCACCCCCACTGGGGCCTTCGGCGGAGTTCCCTATGGGGCCACTGGGGCCCACGGGGGGTGGGGAGGAGGGGGGAGGAGGAGGAGGAGAGAAAGGAAGGAAGGAAGGGAACGCGGGGCGCTGTCACTTCAAAACGAGGACCCAACACCACAAGATGGCTGGGAATAGTGCAAGAGATTCGCAGATTGAGGGCGGGCCGTTTTCGACATGTGGTTCTCGCACTGGAGCCGCGCACATCTGTCTGAATAGTTTACAACAGCTTAACATATTCTCATGGTACGCGTCCAAGAAATTGCGTTCTGGCACGATGTCGGACTGTCAGGGCGCGACAATTACGTTTATTCGCGGTGTTGACGTCCCCAGAATGGTGTACTTGCACGATTCAGGATCGTCAAGACGCCACAATAACGGTGACTCCTGGCGTTGGAAACCCAGGAATGGTGTTCCGGCACGGTTCGGGAGTTTCAAACGGTCTTCTTCCAATGGGGGCCCTCAGTGGAAATTAACCCGTGTATGGGGCCTTATGGAGAGGGAACTTGGGGGTAGGGTTTGCTGCGATATCGTTGATGAGCCTTGGGCTTGCACTGGTTCCTCCGCCTCCCCCTCTTCCTCCTCCTGCTCCCGCGGCCCGGCACCCGTCCGGGCTCCAGGACCCGCTGGCCACCAGGGCCGGGCGCGCAGGGCGGGCAGCAGCGCACACGACCGAGCCAGCCGAGTGCATCGGAGAACGACGGCCCCGCTCGAGATCCGTCTTCAGCCTTGGGCCACCCTCGAGCACGCACGTGTCAAGGGACCCAAGGACACACACACACACACACATAATACACACAAATAAAAGGATTCCCCATATTTTCCTACATCTTCTGGGTTTCTGTCTCCCCCCCCCCCACGTCACACATTTTCCCAGCTCTTCGGGGGAAGCGACGATTACTTGTGTCTGTGTATTTCTTCCCCTTCTGAACGCGGCCTGCACCGGTCGGGCCGGGGGAGGAGGAGGAGGAGGAGGAGGAGGAGGAGGAGGAGGAGGAGGAAGAGGAGGAGGAGGAGGAGGAGGAGGAGGAGGAGGAGGAGGAGGAGGGGGAGGAGGAGGAGGAGGAGGAGGAGGAGGAGGAGGAGGAGGAGGAGGAGGAGGAGGAGGAGGAGGGGGAGGAGGACCCCCTCCCCCTCCAACTTATGGTGGTGGTGGTGGTGGTGGAAAACAAGCCCATCAAGATCGGTGCGTAGATGCCCTCCTGCCCAAGCCAGGAGGATCTGGAATCAGGGCAATCCCCCGCAGTCGCGCCGGGCAGGCGGAAGAGGCCTGCTCGTCCGCCGCCCGGCGGAGCTCGTCGGGGACGCGCTGCCGCAGGGTCTCCAGCAGCGTCACCAGGTCGGGGGCCAGCTCTGGGAAGTCCTCGCTGGAGAGGCATCGAGGATCGAGAAGGAGGAGGAGGAAGAGGAGGAGGAGGAGGAGGAGGAGGAGGAGGAGGAGGAGGAGGAAGAGGGGCATCGAGGATCGAGGAGGAGGAAGAGGAGGAGGAGGAGGAAGAGGAGGAGGAGAATGAGGAGGAGGAGGAAGAGGAGGAGAAGGAGGAGGAGGAGAGGGAGGAGGAGGAGGAGGAGGAGGAGGAGGAAGAGGAGAAGGAGGAGGAGGGGGATCGGACAAGCACGGGTCCCCTGGAAGGCATCCTGATTTCTCTGGGCCAAAGGGTGTGACGCTGTCACGCTGGTCCGTGGCAAGCTCCTGCAAGTCCTCGCCAATGTGCGATCGGACAAGCATCCGAGCATGCATCGTGAAAAAATCACGGCGGAGGTCTTTGTTTCGATGTTCAGCCTCCAGGGGCTCTCGCTGAGCCCCGTGACAATCAAAACATGACCCAGGACGAAAAGCCGGTCCAGGTGAATGAGCCGAAACCTCTAGGGGTACATGTTATGAGACATGCGTGACGTCGGAGGGTCTGGGAAACACGGGTCCCCCTGGGAAGGATCCTGGCTCCCTGGGCTCTCCTGGTGGCCACGGGGTGTCACGTTGCCCCGCTATAATCGGCGGCCAGCCCGGAAGGGAAATAAGAGGGGCGGGTCTTCTCAGAAGGCTCGGAAGTCATCTGGCCTTCCGGAAAATGTTCTAAGCGTTCCCCGCAGACGCAGAAACTTTTCAGAAGGCCAGAGGGATACTGAGAAGCCCCGCCGCCTTCTGATACAGAGGGATTCTGACACCGAGGGATTCTGAGAAGGCCAGAGGGATTCTGAGACAGAGGGATTCAGGCCTCCTCCTTCTCACTTCCTCCCCTCGCTCGCCGCCGATCAAAAGCACCCCATTGTGTGCAATCAACCACAGCCAAAATCCTTTAGCACTGCGAGCCCGCCCCTGACTAGTCCCCCGCGCTCGTCGGCAGAGTGCTCCGACGCCGGACCTATCCGCGTGGCCTTACGCCCCAGCACAGTCCGCAGACTTCGCGGATTTGTCCCATGACGCCACTTGCCGCGCCAGTCTCGAGTGTCAGGTCAGTGATCGGGCATCTGCATTCATCCAGACCCGCAGCACAATCGCTCACTCATGTGTCGATGCGGGCACGCGCGAGTGCATGACTTCGTTCCTCCGGGCCCGCCGCACTCGACAATGTCCTGGCTGCTCGTCAGCAGCACGGACACCTCATCCTCCAGCATGACGCGTGCGTTAGTCAATGCTGTCGTGCAACTCGTAAGCTACTGCGTTCTTCATTGAGATGTTGTTGGCTCCGCATCACTCCGTGCTCGTCTGGGTCGCACAATGTCTGATCCTACACAACTTCGAATGCCTTCCATGCGTGTGTTATTGATTCCGATCCTTGCTACTTTGAATTCGTACGGGTATCTGTTATTCACCTGGCCTTCATCTGAAGTAAAACATCCATGGATGGGGCTGAAATGAAAACACATGTCTTGAGGAGTGCTAGTCACTGCTGTCTCAGGGTACCTACCTTTTTCAGACGAGATCTTGGCACAGGTAAGCGCTTAACAACATGGCGTAACCTAAGAAGCAGTATGCAATGCCATTTTCTGAAGCGTGAACCTACCAGAAACCTCCCACTCCTCCGATCACTAGTGCGGCCAGTCAGCTGGCGCTGTGGTACTGACTGAACGCATGAGTCTCACTACGTAGGACAATCAGCTTTAACTGGCGCCCTCAGATGGTGTGCGCAAGTGCTAGGCACTCCACGGGACAGCCGCGCTAACATCCTGGCTCGGGGTCCACACAAGTCGGCACGGCATGCGAACAACTTCTCACTCTGTCCTCCTCCTCTCTCGTCCTTCTCCTCCTCTTCCTCTTCCTCCTCCTCCTCTTCCTCCTCCTCTGGCCGCTTCAAGGCAACCATGTCTGTGCCTGGGACCACCCGGCCGTCCCGGGCGACTCCGCTGCGCAAGACCTACGATCAGACAGGACCAAGACCTCTCTCTCCTTCCACTCTCCCCTCTGCTTTCCTCCCTCCCTGACGCCCCCCCCTCCTTCCCCATCCTCCCCCTCTTTCCTCTTCTGCTTCTTCCCCAACTCCTCTCCCCTCCTCACCACTTGATTCACGCCCCCGAGGACGAGGACGATGGAGAGGAGGATGAGGAGGATGAGAAAGAGGAGGAGGATGAGGAGGAACAGAGGACTAGTGTACACCTAAGAGTCACTAGCGATGTTGGAATAAACCCTTCCTCCAAGCTCCCTCTTCATAGGCCCCTACAACGATTCATTTCCGCAGAAAGACCTGCCTTATTGGAAGACAATGGTTTGAAGACCAGGAAGCAGACCGAAGCATTATTCTCATTATTCCAACGCCACGGATGAACCTGACTGTTGCGTCTTGACGACCCTGAGTCGTGCCAGAACGCCATTCCTGGGACCTCAACTCCGCGAATCATCCTAACTGTTGCGCCCTCAAAACCGTGAACCTTTCGAAAACATCATTTCTGGTACGTCGATCTTGGGATTCCGTGACTCTTGCAATTTTCTTTCCAGAATGTGCACGGCGCTACGACGAGAGCCACATGTTGAAAAGGAGCCGCCTTCAATTCGTGAAACCCTTGCAAATTCTCAAAATAAATGTGCGCGGTGTTAAAGCGAGATCCACATGTTGAAAACCACCCGCCTTCAATCCGTGAAGCTCTTGCAAATTTCAAAACGAATGCGCACGGCGCTAAAACGAGAGGCACATGTTGAAACCGACCCGCCCTCAATCAATGAAACTCTTGCAAATGTTTAAAACGAATGTGCGCGGCGCTAAGGCGAGAACCACCTCTTGAAAACGGCCCGCCCTTAATCCGTGAAACTCTTGCCATCTTTAAAACGAAGGTGCGCGGCGCTACGGCGAAAGCCACATTTTGAAAACCACCCGCCCTTAATCCGTGCAGCTCTTGCAAAAAATGCAAAACGAATGCGCACGGCGCTAAAGCGAGAGCCACATTTTGAAAACCACTCACCTTCAATCAATGACATTCTTGCAAACTCTTCAAACGAATGTGCGCGGCGCTGAGGCGAGAGCCACATTTTGAAAACGACTGGCCCTCCATCTGTGAAACTGTGGCCAACGTTTAAGCTTCAGCGCCATAAATGGTGAGGAAGTCTGAGGCGAAACGCCCGGCCCGCTCTGAAAACTGGCCTCGGGGTGCGACAGGGAGAAATCATTTAGAAGGAGAAGGAATGGAGGAGGAAGGGAAGAGGAGGAGGGCACGACGACGACGGAGGACCTCTGCCCCCTCCCCCGCTCCCCCCTTCGTTAACCCCATCCCCTCCACTGAAGATCGACCCTGGCCGTGTCCGATGTCACCGTCTAAACCACCCGGCTTCGAACCCCGCTGCCGAGGCCTCGGGCACGAACGCCGCGAGGCTGTCGGGCTGCGCCTGGACAGGCGCGCCGCTGTCGGCGCCGTCTGTCGAAGCCCTCGTCGTGGAATACCTCTCGTGCAAAAACTTATGTCCTACTATGTTGCCCACGCTCTGAAGGAAACAGCTCAGATGAGAGTCAGACCAGGCATCGTAGAACTTCCCTGCCGACGGAATGTGCTGACTGTCAAGCTTGTCTCCAATAGCTTGTAACCACCTTCTGCGGCGATCGTCATCCTCGAGGTTGGTCCATTTGTTGCGTAAGTTGCAGTCGTCGTCGAATCTAAGAACAATCAAAGGTATGTTGTTTCTGCATGCAGTGGCAACTTCCTCCAAGCATGGCTTCGACTTGAGCAGCGCCTCGGTCAGCAGCACTACCAACACCTTTGCTACATTGGACCCTTTGGGGCATAGCTTCTTATCAAGCCGCCACATGAAATCCTTCCATGGCCTGCCCGCTGACAAAGTTAGACCAGAGAACGATGGGACCCCCGCCGCCTCGAATAAGACCTGCTGCAATTTCGCCGTCCAGTACAGTCCAGGGCCTACACCATCTTCGTCCCCCTCGCGCCGACCCGTGGCATAACTGAAAACCACCGAGGGGTAGAACCTGGCCAAATCACCGCCGCTCTCTTTGGAGGCCATGTTCCACACATAATCCGTGAGCGGGGTGATCATTTCGACAGAGATCCGATCTGGAGGCTGAAGGATATCAGAATCTGGGCGAGCTTCGTAGTTTTGGGGGCAGGTTTCGCCTTGGTTGAGACGCCGGACACAAACGGCGACCAACATTCCGACTACAGAGACGATGGCCTGACAAACAAATTGGAACATCTTAACACGTCTATGTGGGTCAATCTGAAAGAGTGGCAAAGAAGGCCATACCTTCGAACAGAGTCGCCAGAAGAAGTCAGATTGTTCCACGCCGAGGGGCAGCTCGCCGTTGACGAATGTGAGAATTAAAAGGCCATCCACGTAGCGATGGCCCAAATATTGCTCGCCACGCCTTGCGTTCTTTTCGAACTCCTCAGTTCTGGCGGCAAATGCTCGGGGTGGCACCCCACCAAAAGCTTGCTGAGTCCGCCCGCACAGAACTGTCGCCTTTTGTTTGATGGAGTCTGCCGTTACACTGAGCGTGCTGCAACCAGGGAGCTGAATGACCACCCTGCGCTCCCCAGTGGCACTCACTTCGCACACCTGTTCTTGGATTGTGTCGCTCCGTTGCATATTGGAGCTGTAATCCTCTTGCCGCATTGTAACGTAATCCGCCACCTCGTTTCGTCGGGGCTCGTGCGCGCCAAGCATATTGTCGCTCTTTTAGTCTTGCTCCTTGCGGGGCAACATGTAGGCCCCGCCTTGCGCATCGAGGCCACAACGCATTCACCTTCGCCACCAAATGTGGAAGAATGTTCAGAGGCAACGCTTGCACGTAAGGGTTCTCATTTCGCTCGTCAGAATGAAGTTTGAATACCATTGGGGTGCTATTGGGTCCAGCCTATGGGGTCCAGGGGCCTCACCCAGCACAGTACTGGCGCACGACTGCTTCATAGCCATCCTCAGACGGTCAGACAACTCCTCAACACTGCCTGAAACCTGCTCTCACGGCACCACGCCTCCCTAGATGGCGGGATGGCCCCCCGCAAAACCCTGACAAGCCCCAAGCGGCCTCCAGTGCCCCCCCCCCCCGGAATTCTCTCAAGGAGGCCTCAGAGAGGCAAACATTGAATAACACACTTGCTGCAGAAGACCCGAAACAGCTTTTACGGTTTGGGGCACGATGGGGGAGCCACGATGGGGGGCCACGATGGGGGAAATCGGCATAGGGATATGGATATAGGGCTGGGGATCTAGAGCATAGGGGTAGGGATCCAGAGATAGGAATCGGGGTATAGGGTAGGGGTAAAAGTGATAGGGCTAGGGATACGGGGATAGGGATATAGGGACGGCAACAGAAGGTCACGGGAAGCAACGGGAAGCCACGGAAAGCAAAGGGAGGTCACGGAAGGCAGCGGGAGGCCACGGGAGGCGACGGGAGGCAATGGAAGACCACCCATGGGTGCCATGGGAGCCATTGCGAGGCCACGGACGGCAGTGGGAGGCCACGGGAAGCAACGGGAGGCGACGTCGCCATCCCCGACTCCGGATCCAGCAGCAGTTCACCTGCCATTTTGCTGGAACAGGTATGCAGAAACCCCATGGACAAGCTGTTTGGGGGAAAGGCAACCCGGGGTTTGAATGTATCTGCTGTGCCACCCACCAGGAGTTCAAGCTGCATCTGGTGGACCAACGAACGGCCTTCGGGAATCCCCTGAGAAGGCGGCGGCCTGGCGGCCCGGGAGGCCCCTGGAAGGCACCCCAGACGGCCTCAAGAGACGGCCTAAGACTCCAACGGGACGGCCTCCGAACGGCCCCGGGCCGCCCCAAGACGGCCCCAGGGCTGCCCAAGACGCCAAGAAGGCCCCCAGACCCTCAGGCAGCTCCAAGACCTCCATGGCCCACACCCTCCCCAAGACGTCCTCCAGGGCCCCCAAGAGGCGCGCAGGAGGCCTCCGAAGAGCCCCAAGCATCCACGAGGCCCCAGCAATCCTCAAAAGGGCACCCGAAGGGCTCCCCAAAAAGCAGCGCAGCAACTATGCATCGCTGCACCCGTGCTCCCTGCGCTGCTTCTCCAAGCGCGCTGGGGAAAGGCGCGGCAGCGCAGCTAGATAAGATAATTCAGCATCAGGTGGCCAATTGAGGGTCATTTTCCGAGCAAAGGGGACATTGCCAAATGCATGTGTGCACGTCTTGATTGACACATCACTTCGGTTCTGGCAAAGGTTCCGATACGAGTCGCTCTCGTTGAGGGCGTCAGAGACTGTCCACTGTGGTGCACGCCCGCTCTTCCTAAAACGTGCGTCATCGATGTATTTCTTGCTGATGAGACCCCTGTGCCCATCCTCTCGCAATGGAGCCATGATCCGGTTCATGATTGTCCAACCTGATTTGTCTGTGCGCAGCCGCTGTATTCGTATGAAATCAAAAATGGCTTCACGTACAGCGTTATTGTATCCTTTTCCGAAGCTGCTGCCTTCATTCGCTAATGCAAAGTGTGTCACTGTGCCTTGAGATGTGCTACTTGTCTGCCTCTGTCCCTCTGAATCACACTCATAGATCGTGTCCTCTTCAGGTGGCAACAACTGCGTCTCTCCATACATGTACGGAACAGACCCGTTTACGTACTGAATGGACATGTCTGGATATGCCTCCAACGCAAACCGCTCCCACATGTCATCCAATTGCTTCTTGGAAGTAGCTGTCCGGAAGCTGTGAACCACCACCAACGTAGCACCGTGCCTGTTCAGCATAGCACTGCTCCTTTCCAGCCTGAAGCCCTTCATTCTGTCCTGCTCGTGACTGGTGATACCTTCGCCGACAACCCAGATTGCCATGTCGGCCGACTGCAAACAGATGTCAGTCTGCAAATCCTGAAGCAACTTCTCATGAAGCCTCTCGCCACGGTCATCAGGCCCAACGGGGGTTGAAAAGCCTTGCGAATCGATGAGGCAATCTTGGTAGGGTTGGTTTGGGACCTGCAGGCAAGCAACGCTGAGCCCCACAGTGGGCACCGTGTCGCCAACTGGCAAGGACACGCCGTATAACTTGGACGCTAAGAACGATTTTCCGGAATTGAACTTGCCAGTGATACAAATCAACGGGCTGTCGCGACGGACTTCATCAAGAGCGTCACCCGCACTGTATACAGGCCACTCGATGCTTCTGTCTTTCGACAATGATCGAACATCGAATATGGCGTCGTATTGGTGCCACGAGCGATTATCATCATAATCATCTACCATTGGCGCTTCGGGTTGGAAATTGAAACTTGCGCGGCAATCGTCCAACTGTTGATTCAAATCAGACAAGACCTCGCTCCTTTGTTCGTTGCACTTTCCAATGTTTCGATTACAACTGCCCAATTGGTGGTGCAACTCAGTTGCGTTCCCTTTGCACTCCTCATGTGCCACTTGCTCTAAGTGAAGCTTAATGCGATCAGCCTGAAGTTCCTGCTTACACTGCGTGTCGCATCCAGATAAGGTGACTGCACAGAGACATGAACCTGCAATAATCAGGAGGCTCCGCATACTAATCCGCCGTTGTCTACACACAGTGCTGCAGGTCATCGGAGGTTGAGCCTACCACGCTGCAGACGATGGCACTGGTGGTGGAAGCGACGGCGATGACGGATTTGAGCACTTGCGATGGCAATGGTCCTATACTCTACGATGTGGGACCATGGGCCACTGGGGCCTTTTGGTCTTCGGAGACTGTCTTGGGCCCTCCCTGTGCAGTTGTGGGTCCTTCTTTGGCGCTCTGGGGCAGTCTTGGAGGTCTCTGGGGCCGTCTTGGGGCCGTCTTGGGTGCTCCATGGGCTGTCTTGGGGCGCCATTTGGGGCCGTCTTGCAGGCCTCTTGGGCCGTCTTGGGGTGATCTTGGAGGCCTGTGGGCCCGTCTTAGCGCGTCGGATGCCCGAAACAGCGAGAGCGCTACAATCATCTGACATAGTTGCGAAAACCCGTGATTCGGGCCCTCTGGAGATCCTCCGGGAGCCCTCTTGTGGCGTCTCCGCAGCCTCTTGGGCCGTCTGGAGGACATCTTCGACCATCTTGGGGCCATGCTGGCCCTTCCGAAGCCGCAACTGCAAGTTGTGGCCATCTTCCGCCGCCTTGCGCCGTCCTCCCGCTCGTGCACGGGGCGGGATCTCGAGGCGTACCCCCCCCAGACCCTCTTCAGGGGGACACGCAACGGGAACCCCTCCGCAAGGCCGGGGAAGCTCCGAAACCGCTCCCCGCTCCTTCCCCCTGCCCCCCAACCCCAGTCTCGCAGGCAGGCGGGGAGCGGGTAGGGTACAAACCTCCACCCCCGCTCAAGGGGGAGAAGGGATGCTTCGAATCCCGCGGCGCGCGCCGGCAGCCGACAGCGACGGCCAGCGACGAGGAGACGAGACGACGACGACCTCGGCGAACACGACGACGACCAGGACAACGCAGATCACGACAAGTACGACGACGACGACGGCGACAGCGACGACCACGACAAAAACGACAACGACCAGGACAACGCAGACCACGACGACGACCACGACGACGACGACGAAGGCGACGACGACGACGACGACGCGGAAGAGGACGCCAGCGACAGCAACGACAACGACGACGACGACGACGGCATCGACGACGACGACGACGGCGGCGACGGCGACGACGAGGACGTCAGGAGGGATGTTCAGTCAGCTGGGCCATTACATGGGACCCTTATCCGTTGATGGGGTAAGGTGAAACAAACAACCGACGGAGGCGACGACCACGACGTGCGGAAGGGACCCTAGGTCAGGAAGGGCGGGCATTCAATGTCGTACTCTATCGTCGATGTGACAAGCTTACAGGGGAAAGAAAAGAAAGACCACCGACGACGGCGACGAAAACGACAACGACGACGAAGAAGGGCGGGGCCTTCAGTCGGGCGGGCGGAGCATTAAATGGAACCTCCTCGAATTGACAGGACAATGTCCGGGGAAGAAACACAAAGCCACCGACGACGGCGACGACGGCGACGGCCACTCGCATTACGGCGGCAACGACAACGACGACTGGTGAAAATTACAGCAAGTCGGGCAGGCGGGGGGGAGACTAACTGCAATTCGCCCTCACAGTTGGCAGAGCAAGATTTGGGGAACTGCTAGCGACAAACAACGACGACAGGCGGGATCTCCAGTCGGGCGGGCAGGCGGGACACGAAACCGAGTCCCCACCCGTTGACGACAACGACGACGCTGGCGACGGCAGTGAAGCCTCATCCGCCGATAAAAACACAATTGGAGAAGAGGATGCGTAAAGAAGCGACGACGACGGCTGGGATGCTCAGCAAGGGCGGGCGGGGTCATGAATCCGAACTTCCACTTGGCCTCGGAGGAGGAGTTGCAGGAGGAGGAGGAGGAGGAGTCGCAGGAGGAGGAGGAGGAGTTGCAGGAGGAGGAGGAGAAGGAGGAGGAGGACGAGGAGGAGGAGGAGGAGGAGGAGGAGGAGGAGGAGGAGGAGGAGGAGTTGTTGCAGGAGGAGGAGGAGGAGGAGGAGGAGGAGGAAAAAGGGCCCCGAAAGAAGAAGGCGGGGGGGACGCCCCTGCGTGAGAGGCGGGCACGAAGCGAGGCCAGGCCGCGCCGAACTGCACCGACGTCCTCCAGGCTGTCACAACTTCCCTCGCCCCCCCATCTACGGTGGAGGCCAATACACGAGAAACCTTCCAAAAGAGACCCGACCCTGAGACCCCAGGACGCCCACTGAGTTTTGATGTGGGAGCGCCACGCTGTCCATCGCAAAACCATCGAAATCCAAGAAACCCAGGGCACCCTGAAGGCAAGCAGGGTGTTTCTTGGCATGGGTCTCCACTCTATACTGCACCCCCTCTCCCCCGTCCGTTTCCCTTATAAACGACGCCTCCCGTCCTCAACCCCAGACGTGTCGCTAGGGCGGGCCGGGTGTTTCGCCTCAGACTTTGTCACCACGTCTGATCCTGAGGCTTAAAATTGGCAGGAAGTTCACGGATGGCGGGCGGGTGGTTTTCAAACTGTGGCTTTCGCCTTCGCGCTGCGCGCGTTCGCTGGAGGGCGGGTGGTCTTCAAAATGTGGCTCTCGCCTTAGCGCCGCGCACATTCGTCTTGAAAGTTTTCAAGAGCTTCACAGATGTAGGGCGATTCCTTTTCAACATGTGGCTCTCGCCACAGCACCGCGCACAATCGTCTTCAAAGTTTGCATGATTCACGGATGGAGGGTGGCTCTTTTTGAACATGTTGCTCTCGCCATAACACCGCGCACATCCATTTCAAAAGTTCGCAAGAGTTTCACGCATGGAGGTTGATGTTCAACATGTGGTTTTATCCTTAACGCCGCGCACATTCGTTTCAAAAGTGTGCAAGAGCTTCACAGATGGAAGGCGGCTCCTGTTCAACATGTCGCTCTCGCCTCAGCGACGCGAACATACATCTAACTAATGTACAACGGCTTCAAGGATCAACATGTTTGACGCCCCAGTAATGGTGCTCTGGTATGACTGAGGATTGTCGGAGCAAAGTGGTAACGTTGATTCGAGGTGGTGAAGTCCCAAGAATTGTGTTCTGGCGCGGTTCAAGATCGTCAGGACGAACCAGTAACTTTGGTTCGCGGCGTTGAAGTCCCAGGGATGGTGTTTTTGCACGGTTGAAGATTCTCAAGCGGTTGCCTTCCAACGAGGCACTTCCCACAGAGTATATATATATATATATATATATACACACCTATATTTATATAAGTCTGGGCGGGCGGACCCCCCCCCAAAAAAAACGGACTCCCGGGATCTGGGGCTTTGCGGCCCTCCGGGCCTCGCAGGGCGTTTTGCCAAGCCTTCCCAGCACACCTAGGGCGATCAGGGGGGTCATCGGAGACGTCCCAGAGACCCCCAAGACAGCACAAGAGCGCTCCAAGAGTGACCGACGTGACCTCAAGATGGCCCAAGAGGCCTCCAGGACGGCCCCAAAGGCCTCAAAAAGCCTCCAAGAGCACTCCCAAGAAGGCCCCGAGAGGCACACATCATTGATTGTCTGCGGGTTTCTGGTGAATTTTGAGGTTCTCCTCTTTTCGGCTTCCCGACGCTCCAATACGGCAATCTTCTGGGCGTCCGAAGCCGCCTGGGAGGCTCCCAAATCGCCCCACAACCATCCGAAAGGGCTTCCAGGCAATCCAAGAGAGCCCCCAAACGGCACAACAGGGGTCAAAGATGGCCCTAAGAGAGCCCCTATGGCGGCCCAAGACGGCCACAAGACACCCTCCGAAGCATTCCAAATCGTGATCCGGTCGTTCAGGGAGACCGCGGTTGGAGGCAGGGTGGCCCGAGGAAGCCCCCAGAACCTCCAGGACACGCCCAGGAGGCCTCCAGAGGACCTTAAGAAAGCCTGATTTTTTTGCGAGGCCCCCAGAGGCTCTCCAAGGAGGAGCCTCCGCAAAAAGAGCTGAGGAGAATGAGAAGAAGCGCAGGGTATGGCGAGAACGCGGAAAAAGAAGCATGGAGGAAGGATAACGACTAACATCATTTTATCGGCGATGCTGGAAAAGGCAACAAGGAGTTATCGCTAAATTGTCGGCTTAACCTTCCTGCCATTCCGCCTGCATACCAAACTTCAAGGACCAAGGTGCATGGCGCGAAGCGCCACTGCAGTCTTGTATGTATGTATGTATGTATGTATGTATGTATGTATGTATGTATGTATGTGTGTGTGTGTGTGTATGTATGCATATATGCATGCATATATATACATGTACATCTCTACATTCTTGTAGGGACCTACGAAGAGGGAACTTACAGGGAGGGTTTCTTGAAATATCGCTGATGCGTCTTAGGTTGACACAGGTCCTCCTCGTCCTCATCCTCTTCCTGCTCCTGCCTGGCCATCCTCACCCTTTTCCTGATCCTTCTCCTTCCCCTCCTCGCCCTCTTTTCCTTGTCCTCCTCATAATTTTCCTCCTCTTCCTCCTCTGCCTCCTTTTCCTCCTCCTCCTCCTTCTCCTCCTCGTATTCCTTCTCCTCCTCCTCCCCTACCAACTCCTCCACTGCAGTGAGCAAAAATGCTCATCCGGCGTGCTCTTCGGAGCCCTCTGGGCCCTCTCCATTCACCCCCCTCTGCGCGATCCGTCCTCCATCCTCCGTCCTCCCCCCCCTCGTCCCGCTCCTCCTCCCCGCCCCCTTTCCTTCCGATCCAGTGGCCTCCACACCCGGCCCTCTAGGCCTGTGGCTGACATCGAGATGCGGGATCGGGTCGGATGAGGAGGAGGAGGAGGAGGAGGAGGAGGAGGAACATTCAGAAATAGCCAGAGGATAGTCTGGGGACGATTTTCCTCGACGATCTCTCTCGAGTCTTCTCTCCGAGCGTCGCGCACGGCGCGCATCGGGATGCGGGAGCGGCTCGGATCGGATCGGTCGGATCGCCAGCGAGCCTTCCCGAATCGAACCGACATCGGACCGCCGCGCCCGGCTCCGGCCGGCACCGGCCAGCGCCAGCGAAGCGAAAACCGAACCGAACGAAGGATTGAAAAAAAAACAGGTTTTTTTTGCAATCCTTCGGGTTTTTTTTGCAATCCTTCGTTCGAGGGTTTTTTTTTGGAATCCTTGGTTTTTTTGCAATCCTTCGAACCGCGGCCCGCGCCGGCGCATCGATATCGCCCTCGAGGCGGACGGCAGACGGCCCCGGCCTCGCCCTCGAGCCACGGCCCCCGTCCTCGAGCTGCTGGAAGAAGACGAGCACGTGCCCCCTGGTGTCGCGGCTTCGCGCGGGGCGGCACAGCTTCGTCACGTACTCCTCGGGGGGGGCGGGAGCAGACAGGGCACGGTGCACATTCCAAGACCTAGGTCGGGCATGTCCTCCTACAGGCGGCTTTTGGGACGAAGAGTTAAAGATACGGAGAAAATGCTCAGAACTAGTCAAAGAATAATCCAAACATCGTCCCATGACTACTTCTGGACTGTTTCTGAAGAGTGTATTCCTCCTGTAGAGGGACACGCCCGACTTAAATCCCGGACCCCCTCGCGTGGTGGCGAAACCACGACGACACATTTTTCCACGTTCTCGGGCTGCACGGGCCATTACCAGGCCGCGGGACTGTCAACAACAAGGCTCAGGATGAAGAGCTGGTCCCCGGGAAGGGGTCCAGACCTCTGGGGCTCCACGCTGTGACAAAATCACGACGCCGGGGGTCTGGGTCAAGACGGCCCAATAGAGCCCCAAGAGAGGCCCGTGAGGGCTCCAAGACGGCCCCAAGAGCGCCCAAGAGTGCCCTGAAAAGAGATTCGTCTGCCTCCGACGGGTGTTGTGAGTGAGAGCCCTCCATTTTTCGATAGATGGCCTCCAACATAGCCCCAAGAGGGCCCTCAAGGCCCCAAGGTAGAGTCCCAAGGGAGTCCCACGAGCGCCTCGAGGACCCCAAGAGAGCTCCAAGAGTCTATTCGGGGTCTCTAAGTTCATCGTTGTTGGCATCCCTGCTTCTCTAGATGCTTCCCTAGGCCCTCTCCCCCTCCCGACGACTTCCCTCGGCATCGCTCAAGGTGGATACACACGCGAAGCGGCAAAGCACATGGCGCGAACCCTGCGGACCACTTTGCCGTGCAGGACGCCAGGAGGGGCTGATTATGCTACCTCATCTTGAGGAGGAGGGCTCGCGAGCCGCACCAGAACCAGGCGTGAGCCAGGTTGGAGGCCCTGGGCGGCGGCCAAGACGGCCCCCGAAGGCCTCAAGGTTGGCCCAGGTCGGCCTCAGGGCGGTCGCAGGACAGCCCCAGATGGCCACAAGACGGCCAAAGTTGGACCCAGGACGGCTCCGGATAACCCCAGGACTACCCAGGAGGCCGCCTAGGAGGCCAATGGGGGCCCTGAGATGCCATTCAGGAGTCTCCCGACAGATCATCATCATCATCATCATCATCATCATCATCATCATCATCATCATCATCATCATCATCATCATCATCATCATCATCATCATCATCATCACCACCATCATCACCACCACCACCACCACCTCCACCACCACCACCACCACCATCATCGTCATCATCATCATCATCATCATCATCATCATCATCATCATCATCATCATCATCAACATCAACATCAGCATCAGCATCAGCATCAGCATCATCATCATCAGCAGCAGCAGCAGCAACATCATCAGCATCATCATCAGCATCATCATCAGCATCATCATCAGCATCATCAGCATCAGCATCAGCATCATCAGCACCATCATCATCATCATCATCATCATCATCATCATCATCATCATCATCATCATCATCATCATCTTCAGCATCATCATCATCATCATCATCGTCGTCGTCGTCGTCATCACCATCATCGTCATGCTCATCATCATCAGTAGCATTATCATCATCATCACCCACATCATCAGCATCATCAGCAACACCAGCACCATCGCCATCATCATCAACATCATCATCAGCATCATCGTCATATTCACAGTATCCATCACCGTACTCATCATCAGCATTGAACCATCATCGTCGTCATCATCATCATCATAATCGTCACCATCACCATCACCATCATCATCATCATCATCATCATCATCATCATCATCATCATCATCATCATCACACTCTTGCCCATGTACCCCAAAGGCATGATAGCATCGAGCTTGTAGCGCGCACACCCATTTTGATGGCTGGTTCGCGTTAGGGAGGGAGAGGCGAGGAGGAGCAGCAACAACAAAAAGGCACCGTGGTGGGTTGGCGGCAAGCTTTGCACTTCTCGTCTTGGCTCTACGCACGGCGTGACGGCCCGCCCACCAAGAACTCCCATGGCTGATGCTGCCTCTGGCGCGGCTGCTGTTTGAGGCTGCCTCGCTGGGCTGTGCATGCGTAACTTGACCTAGTCCACGCACGTCCACCATGTTCGCCAACGGGGGGTCAGAGGGTGAGCAGAAGAGGACTCGGGGGGAAAGGAGAGGGGCAGACCAGGGCCGAGACAAGGGGGGCGGGCCGGCAGGGCGCCAGGGACTTTTAGCCGGGGGGCGAGCGCGGGCCCGCTGCCCGCAGCAGGAGGAGGATGTCATGCACGCTGTACTCTGCCGGGCGGCACTCTCTTGGTGCTGCACCGGCAGCGGCGGGGCGAGAAAAAACGCGACCTCCGATGGGCGTCGCCTGCGCGCGCGGCGCGGGGGCCGGAGGCCTCAGCGGGGCCGGGGCTACCTAAGCACTCTAGCATCTAGCACTCCTTCAGGCGCCAGTCGTAGCAGCTCTCCTGGTTGTACGCGCAGCAGGGCTGGTTCCGGCTGTTGTGGTACACCGTGCTGACCCGATCGAAAAACTCAGGCATGCCTCCGGGGGCCGTCTGCCCCCCCCGACGACGCAGCTCCAGCCCTGGAGCCCGCCGTCGCAGTGAGCCGTGGCGCCTTGGTCTTTCGGGTACTTCGCCCAGCAGAGGGAGTCGACCGAGATACCGTCGCACAACCCAGATCCCACCATGGTGCAGGAGGCGGACCCTGAGGCCGCGCGCAGCTCCACCTCGTCGCCCGCGGAGCTGGAGGCCGCGCGCAGCTCCGCCCCGTCGCTGCCCCAGGCTACGCAGTCCCCCCCGCTGTGCTGGGAGTAGGTCGCCCCGAGCTGCGGCGGGTTCGCCCGGCGGCGCTTCACGGCGTTCTCGTCGCGCTGCTGGCAGTTGTCGCCCGCGCCCCCGGAGCCGCTGCCCTTCATCCACGCGCAAGAGGCCCCAACCTCGGCATCTTTCGGGCCCTCCACTCAATTGGCAGCCCACGGGCTCCACCAGCGCGGAGACATGACGATGCCGTCCATGACCCTGCAGGTGTTCGCACAGCACGAGTTCTCGCTGAAATCGTCGCAGTAGTTGCAGTCGCAGGTCTGGCCCTGCCCGCTGCAATAAGTATCCGACAGCTGCGTGCGCTCTCCAGAACGAAGCGGCTCGCCCGCGGAGCTGGAGGCCGCGCGCAGCTCCGCCCCGTCGCCGCCCCAGACTACGCAGTTCCCCCCGCTGTTCTGGGAATAGATCGCCCCGAGCTGCGGCGGGCTCACCCGGCGGCGCTCCATGGCGTTCTCGTCGCGCCGCTGACGTTGTCACCCGCGCCCCCGGAGCCGCTGCCCTTCATCCGCGCCCAAGAGGCCCCGCCCTCGGCATCCTTCGGGCCCTCCACCCAATTGGCAGCCCACGGGCCCCACCTGTGCGGAGCGGAGAAGATGCCGTTCATGACGACCCTGCAGGTGTTCGCACAATGCGAGTTCTCGCTGAAATCGTCGCAGTAGCTGCAGTCGCAGGCCTGGCCCTGCCCGCTGCAGCAAGTGCCCGACAGCTGCGCGCACTCTCCAGAACGAAGCGGCTCGCCCGCGGAGTTGGAGACCGCGGGCGGGGTCGAGGGAAGGGCGCCCGCCTTCTCGGCGCCGACGGCGCCGAGCAGCAGCGCAGCCGCCACGAGGCTGGCAAACGCGCGCGGCAGGGCAATCCGATTGCGATCGGTGGGAATGCCTCGGGCGCGTTTGCTCGACCCGCGCAAACTTGGGCCAACGACAAAAAAAAACGGCGGCACACGCCTGCGCGCGCGCACTCGGAGAGACCCCACATGGCCCCTGGGCGTAGATGGTTGAGCGAATTCGTAGTTCCACTCCCTCTCTCCCCTGCGGGGAAGTGGAGTTTTCTCCAGGTCCTCATGTAGCATTCTAAAGGCTGGGGCCCCAAATCTTCAAATTCCCGCGCGTTCCCGCGCGTTCCCAGGCCGCCTCGCGCGATTTCTCCAAGGGCCAGAGGGCCCCGAGGCGGGCCTGGAAAGCGCGCGAGAGGGTCCAAGTGGCCTCCAAGACAGCCCACGAGCGCCCCAAGACGCCCGAGATGGCCCCCACGACGGCCCAAGAGGCTCCAAAGAAGCCCCAAGAGCGCTCCAAGAAGGCCCCCAAGAGGGCCCAAGGAGGCAAGCATCATTGATGTCCCTTGTGTGTTTTTCCATGCGTTCTAAGAGGGCCCCAAAAACATCCCAAGAGGCGCCCAAGATCGCCCGAGAGGGCCCCAAGACAGCCCCCCAGGAGGGGGGCACGAACAAACAAGTCGAGCCTTCTGCCCCGAGAGGCCCCCAGGAGGCCGCAAGAGGCCCCCAGGAGAACCCGAGAGGCCCCCATGGGAACCCCACGAGGCCACCCAAAGGCCCAAAAACATACCCCAAGAGGCCCCCGAACGGCCCAAAAGAGGCTTCAAAACTGCTTCCAAGAGGCCCCCGACGCCCCCCCCCCAAAAAAAAAAACGATATCCGAAGGCCACTGGATAACGTGATCCAACCAGCCCTCTGGGCGAAGATGGTTTAACGAGCTGCGTCTCCTCCGTCAAACCCTCGCCCCCCTGCTCGGCGGAAGGGCTTATCACTACTGTCCCCGATGAATCTACACCTCCTGCCCCGGGCGACCGGCAGCCAATCGGGAACCGCGCTCAACCACTCCCCGCTATCCCTGTCACAGAAACAATGCGAAACGCACTCTGCCTCCAGACTCGGAGCGCGCGCCACCAACCCGATCTCCTGAACGCCTCCTTGTTAGCGCAGCACCTGGTCGTGCCATCTTCCTCTGTCCAGCTCATCCTGTCCCCTGCAATTTTTCTCAATAGAATCGCCATAATACGGTCAACCGCTTTCGCATGTCGTTCTTCAAATGCAAGTGCCGTCGGTCCGCTTAGGGCTGCCCCCGAAACGAACGCCTGGGACATGTCCTTCTTTATCTCGTCGGTGGTATCAGAAGACCAGGAGCATTCACTGTGTCTGTTGGCTATCTGCACGGCCTCACATCTCCTCCTGATCTCTCCCGCGCAGCCTTGGTCTCTTGGTGGGTATGGCCCCAGTGCTCTCATATCCCTCATCGGCGCGCCCGTGAGCTTCCTCTCCCTATGTGGCTGCCGCGTGGTCCCGTCTCGCCCCAGGCCTCGAAGGGGTGCCAGGTGGTTGGTTTTGGCTGGGTTTAAGCTCCACCCTCCTCTCTCCAGCTTGCGCTCGAGGCGCTGCGTGGTGGCATTGATCTGCCCCGCTATCCTTCTTGCGTGGTGTAGCGGTCCAGCCTCCTTCCCAGTTGGGGCTCTTGGGCGATCCGAGATATCCTCGCTTTCGCCAAGAACCGACTGGCGCTGTGCTCCTGGTCGGGCCGAAATATCCTCGCCCTCGCCAAGCGCCGACTGGTGCTCCGAGATTGCCTCGCTAAAACCAATCGCCTGCGTGGGCGGTCCCGACGAAACCACAGCGTGGATCTTGGTGATGTCGTCCGCGAACGCGTCGGGCGAAAGATCGCGCTCCTGGCCATTGACGGGGTTCACCGTATCGTGCACTGTCTGCATCCCGCCCCCCCCCCCCCCCCCTCTCGCCCAGGTGCCATTGTCTCACGTGCAGGTTGTAGGCATCATTACATTGCCGCGGGTGCAAGGTAAATCCCATCTGCGTACCTCGCGCAGTCAGTGCATGAAGCCAGCCGCCTGCGCATTCCACGCTCATTGACGTGCAGTGCAGCGCCTCGATAGCGAGTGGCAGGTCCTCCTCTGTCGACGCGGCGAAGACTGATGCCAGCAGGAGGTTGCGTTTCGTGCTCGCGAAGGCATTGGCGCAGTCGTGGTTGCTGGCAATGGTGATCACCCCTGCCTGTCTTGCTCTCCATTGTGTAGCTTCGACGCAGGCTATCGTGTTCCCCCTCAATGTGTTTCTAAGCCCTCCCTGTCCCCAGCACGGGTGCTCTGGTGTTTTTCCTATGTGGTGAATTCCTTGAGCAATATGCGCGCGTAGCTCTTTCTACGCCAATCTCATTTTTTTGATTGCTTTCTCTGCCGAGAAAGAAATCGACCTGTGCCGGTCCAATGGTGTAGCCTGAGATTGGCGACACTTGATAAGGATGTCCTCCAGCTTGTTCCTGCACTCTATACGCACGTCTGTCCCCAACGCTGACGATCCCAACCCAGCTTTCTCGTATCTCCCCAGGTGGTACGCTTTGTTTTTTTCCTGTCGCCCGTAACGTTTCCCCGTCATCATCTCTATCAGTCCTGCCCAGCGCCTCCCCTGATATCCAACCCATTTTCTGTAAAATCGATCTGCCCACCCTGTACTTGTAAAGTGAGCTGCGCTTGTCCAAGTCCTCCTCGTCCTCTCGCTTCTCCGCTGCTCGTACTTTCTGTTCCTCCAGCTTCTTGCTCAATTGCTCAGGGTCCTCCAGGTTGAGGGTAGGTTCAAGAATCATATGTCAATCCTCTTTGCCGCTTTTCCAGCAGTGCTTCAACATGTCTTTTTTGTCCTTCTCCACACAGGCTCTCATATCCATATCCATTGAGAGCGGCATTTTTCTGCGATCATCTCGTCGTGCTCCTTCTCGTACTCTGATAAATTCATCGACGCTGCTGCCAGCCCCCCCTCGGGGGGGTGCTTTCCAAGTTGTTTTAGCAATTTCTCTTTGCTCCGCCATGTTCGAGCTGAGAAATAGTACCTCTTTTTGGTCGTCTCCCGTGCCTCTGGTATTATACCCTGAGCCTGTGCATCTCGCTGAAGTTGTTGTTCTCGTATGCCCTCCAGATTTACTGTGCCAGCTTATTTTTTGCAATGTGTAAGTCTGTCCTGTGTCTGCGTAGCACATGTTGTATCTGCGCCAGGTCCTTTTTGATTTCCTCCTATCTGTCCTGCGTGTCTGATTCTACCATGTCCACTCTTAACTTAAATCTTTCTGCAGGAGGAGGAGGAGGAGGAGGAGGAGGAGGAGGAGGAGGAACATGGCGTGGAAGACGAGCTGGGAAGATCTGGGCCAGCTCCGCCGCCACGCCCGCCCGACAGGCCACCGCCGCCACGACGGCCCACCAGCGGCCCATACGCGGCCGCCGCGCCCGCAGCCACCGCGCGGATCCCAGGTGCCGCGCGGGCGAAGGTCTACACTTCGGGCGGCGGCGGCCTCGCCAGCCGCCCCGATCCGAGACGACGCGCGCCCTTAAGCCCCACATCGGAACGAGGACGAGGAGGAGAACGCTGGGCGTCGCTTCGTGGGGGGCGATAAATGAGGAGGGAGAAAGGTGCACCTTTTTTGGGGGGCCGGGGAGGCCCCCTTTGGGGCCCTAGAGGGCCCCTTCAGGGGACCAAAGAGGCCCCCTTTTCTGCAGCCCTCGCTGCCCCCACACGCATCGCCTCCCAACACGCGAGGCCCAAGAACGAGGGCAAGTGTGACCGCGCCAGTGCAATCCGCCCCCAGACGCCTGGCCGTAGCGACGAGGGGGGGACCCCCGAGGGCCAACTGCCGTTGCCTCAACTGGCCCTCCTCTGAAACGGGGAGGACGAGGAGGAGGGTGAAGATGAGGGCGAGGGCAGGAAAGGGGAGCAGGCTAGCGTGTAATGAGCGGGCCAGCGGCCCCACATCGCACGTTATCTTGGCAACGCCAAGCGTACTCCTCCACTGCAGCGGAAGAGGAGTAGGAGGAGGAGGCACAGCGTTACGCATGATGTCTGCTCGATCTTGGAAACTCCGCACCCCGCGCGGCGGGGAAAAATCGTGTGAAGAGGAGGAGGAGGAGGGGGAGGAGGAGGAGGAGGAGGAGGAGGAGGAGGAGGAGGAGGAGGAGGAGGAGGAGGAGGAGGAGGAGGGAGGAGGAGGAGGGAGGAGGAGGAGGAGGAGGAGGAGGGAGGAGGAGGAGGAGGAGAGGAGGAGGTGGAGGATGGTGAAGGTGAGGAGGGCGAGGGCAGGCAAGAGGAGCACGGAGAAGGGATGGCGAGCAGGCGCGGGGGCCCCGCCTCGATGCTCGCGACCTCGAAGAGGACGACGTGCGAGACGACGGGCACCTCGATGTTCCTCCCGACGATGTCGGTGGCCACCATGACCTCTGCCCAGGCCAGGTCGGGGGCCCTCCTCCTCCTGCTCCTCCTCCTCCTCCTCCTCGTCTCCTCCTCTCCTCCTCCTCCTCCTCCTCCTCCTCCTCCTCCTCCTCCTCTCCTCCTCCCTCCTCCTCCTCCTCCTCCTCCTCCTCTCTCATCTCTCCTCCTCTCTCCTCCTCCTGCTCCTGTTCCTCCTGCTGCTCCTGTTCCTGCTGTTCCTCCTCCTCCTCT